TCTTTTATGCCATCCTATGAATTCAAGTACGTAATATATAGTCATTTTTAACTTATCAGTTTACATATTAAACGATTCTAAAAATATTGGAAAATCACTAAAAAGGAATTTTAAAAGGAATTTTAAGAATAGCGAAACATTTTATTGTAAAAACTCTTTCTATTATAATAATGATGCAAGTAAATTTTTTTAAAGTTAACGGTTAAAATATATATTGAAAATGACCCAATAAAGATTGATTATTTATATTAGTGATGTAACAAATAAATTTTGAAGATATTAGTCGCAAACAATAACCAGTGTTAGTTTATATGCTCCTTTTTTAATTAATTTGGTTTATAAATTATTTTTGGCATCATATATTTAAAAAAATAAAGTAATGACAAGCTTTATAATCTTTATATTATGTAGAATTAATGTGTACATTAACTATAAAATAATTTGTTCAACTATATATATTGTATATACACATTAATTCTATACATAAAATTTGTATAGTTGCTACCACTATGTCTTTTTCTGTAAATGTATAATATAAAATTTATTTTTATAATTAAAAAATTTCATTGAAATCAAAAGATTTATAAGAGAATAATTCCTTAACCATATATTTACACGAAAAGCGTACTTTTAGTTACATTCATTACTAAGATTCTCATGATAAAGTTAGATGTATTTTCCATGGAACATATTTAATATTCAAAGGATGAAAGGATTATCTTAATCTTCTCTAAATTGAGAAATGTCATTATCTTTCAACCACCTAATGGATGGTTGAATAATGTAAGTAATTCTTGTTCCATCGTTCGAGAGAACTGCTGTCCGAGGAGAATTTGATCTAATTCTACGAAGGGTTTAGCGATTATAATTTCGCGCGTGTTAACGAAGCCACGGATCAGCATTTCGTCCGGCTTGCGCTCGCTTCTTCATCAGCCGGCAGTGGTAGGCTTCTAAATTTATTGTCGTCGCGATATGTAAAAATAAACAGTAGTCGCCCGGTCTTACTACGTAGTGCACCTCAGGAGGTTCAACGACACCCTGACGTAAACCCTGCACGTAAACAACCACAACAATCGGATCGCGGCGGGATCGTGTCGTTATCAATCGACGGTTACATAATTGCCACGTAAACGCGCTGCATATAGATACATATTATACTTACAGATTGAGCAAACCTTGCTCATATCTTTTATTGCCAATTACTTTCAAACATTTCAATTATTTTTCTGCAGTCGGGTATCGAACATTGAACATTTTCATGATCATCGAATGGATAAGTTTGAGACTCAGAAGTCAGAGATAAACATATAGTAGTAGCAACTACTGCAGGTGAAAATTGTACAAGTTTTATATTATGTAGAGTTACCGTACAGACATACATATTATGTAGAGAGTTATAGTTACTGTGAAATTATAAAAGATTATCTCAAAGAAAAAGATATAGAGGTATCAGAAAATGACTACGTAAGTTTTATTTGTAGAATTAATGTACATAGTGTTGAATAAACTACCTTATAGTTACTGAAATTATAAAAGATTATCTCTCAGAGAAAAAGATATAGTAACAAAAACAGTGACAACTATATAAGTTTTATATATGTAGAATTAATGTACAGTTGAATAAACTATTTTATTAAAACCATACCAGTCTATTCAACTATGTATATGACTTTTACATATATCTCGTATAATTGCAACTGTATAACAGTTTATTTAATTACACATATTAATTCTATATATGAAACTTGAATAGTTGTACTATATAACAGTTCATTAAATTATGCACATTACTTCCACGTATGAAACTTGTATAGCTGCAACTATAAAACAATTTATTCAACTATACACATTAATTCTGTACATAAAATGTCTGTAGTTGCAATTATAAAACTATGTACATTATTAAACTATGTATTAATTTTATGTATAAAGCTTGTATAGTTGCAACTATTAAACAGTTTATTCAATTTTATGCATTAATTCTACATATAAAATTTGTACAGTTATTATCATTGTGTCTTTCTCTAAAGATGTTAACGAATTGAAAGAGGGTAAAAGTATTCCGTTTCATTCATAATTCGCGTAATACATCACTTAGGCCCAGTTTCACAACTCATTCTTAATTCTTAACCGAGGTTCAACTTGTTTCTCATCTTTTTCCAATTCTAAAATTAGAAAGAGTCAATAAATAAGTTGAACCTCGGTTATGAGTTAACCGTCAGTTGTGGAACTGGGCCTTATTCTTGTTGTTTATAACTTATTCTTGTCGTTTACCGACTTAAATACAAGTATGACCATCATGTGTATCACACGTGAAAGAAAAACCCCGAAAGACTTATCGATGTCAATAGTTGGATAACTCCGATATCAACATAAGAATCCACGAGACCATATTTAGACTCTTAATCGGGTTTAATAACATCCGTAGTTGTGAAACTGGTCAATCGCAATCGTTCCATTCTTCGGAGAAACAGCTATGATTGGGCAATTTCATAACTACGGATGTTATTAAACCCGATTAAGCGCGTGCCGTGTAACAGAAGTCGTAGATTTTCACATTTGCGAATGTGCTTCGAAATAAGCGCCTAAATTACTCCAAATTGACAGCAATAAAAGCGAAAAAATATCTAAATTCGTAAGAAATGTAGAAAGATGTATTAAGCCGTTTTAAGATTTTTACATGTCAACATTAATTTTCAGAGAAAGTTTCTTTTTATTTCCACTTTTCTTTTCGAGTTGACAGATTACTTTTGTATGTCTTGTTTCTACATTCTTTACAGTTCCCACATTCTTAAGAAACGTAACTACGGACAGGATTTTCGAAAGCAGGTAGAATTTACAAAAGCTTATTTCCTTGACAATAAGCTTTTATAGGCTTTTATTATTCGCCTGTCAATCACGAAGCATTACTTTTTGAAAAATTCGAATCAATCTTATCACACCTGGCGATTCTCGCAGGTGGTGCGGTGCCCGAATTTAGGGTTTATTTTTGGAAAATCGCGAAAACGTGTACACGCGCGTAGAAAATCGACCGGGACGACGTGAACCATCAGTCTAGCTTATGACTCCCAACGGTCGACGCCGGCGCGGCTCGTCATCGTCCGTCCTGGCCTGGCCGGCGTCGACTGTCATCGTTTTCGCGGGGTGGAGGAGCAGGCGGAAGAGGAGGTCGTGTCGGAGGCAGCAGCGAGACGCCGGCGGGCGGCGTACTTACCGCGGTATCTGCCGGAGATCACCTTGATGCTGCTTGAGACCCTTGGAGTTGATGAACCAGAGCTCGAGAAGCTTCTCGACACCCTCGAAGAACTGCACGTTGTCGGCGCAGTCGTCCTTGGTGTCCGCCATCCTCTCGCTGTCGTCGGTCTCGTCTTCGCCCAAAAATTGCAAAGCGGCACGCGATTGTGTGATTCACGTCTCTCTCCTTCTTTCCTCTTCTATCTCTGTCGCGGCTCACGTATCTCTAATCTTGCGCCGATCGACTGAAATTTTTGTGAATTTACACGGAGCGTTAAGACTCCAAAGCACTACTCCCGGTAACGCGCGC